AACTGCTTAAGTTAGTTAATAGAGTATTCTATTGTAATTTTTTATAGCCTTGTGGTGGGAATCATTTGGAGGATGTTGTCCAGAGTTGCAACAACTTGCTATCCGCGTCCTTAGCTTGACTTGTAGTGCCACTGGATGTGAGAGGAATTGGAGTACATTTGACCAGGTGCACTCTAAGAGGAGAAATCGATTAGAGCAACAAAGATTAAGTGCACTTGTGTTTGTGAAGTACAATCTTCGATTGGAGGCAAGACACCAAAAGAGAATATTAGAGGATGATTCATATGATCCTATTTCTCTCTCATATATGGAATCTGATGATGAGTGGATCACTGAAAAAGCAGATGCACTCCTTCCTGAGGACACTACTTGGATGAATGTTGGTGAATGTTTTGAGGTTCAAGAAGGGACTAGCAAAAAGAGAAAGAGAGGTAATTAAAATGTAGTGGTTGTTTTTTCTTCTTCTCCATTACTTTGAATTTTATTTTTTTTATATTTTGTATTGGTTGCTTTGTAGGGCCTAGAAATCTTACTTTATACAAGAAAAAAGGAAAGCAAATAGTTCAACTTGAAGATGAGGATGAGGATGAGGATGAGGATGAACAAATACAAGAAGTTGAAGATGATAAAGGAAGTGAAGACTTGTTGGCATCCGATCACAATGATGATGATGATGATGCATTTTCAATTGAAATTGAAGATTGAGTTCAAAATGGATGTTAGAAATTTGGATTAGAAGTCTCTTTGGTGTTTAAAGTTTGAATTAGTGAACTATGGTTGTGAACTTTGCATTATAATAGTAGTGGATTAAGTTGATAACTTGAATAGTTGGTGGAGTATTAATGAAATGCTATATTTTTTATGAGTGTATGACTTTTTTTCAAAGGTATATATATTTTTTTATTATTTATTTAAAATTGCATCGTATCTTACGATACACGATACGATACACGATACGATGCAATATTTGTATCTTACGATACGCCTTCCGATACACGATTTGATAACTATGTACACGAGATTCATGCTATTGTTGTGTGTGGAGGGATCTCGAAATCTTACCATAATGCATGCCAAAAAAAAGGTCTATTTCCATGACTCGTATTGTACCTTTCTCCTACACCAAGACCGAGCACTGAAAATTCAGATTAGTTAATGTCTGTGTTTCTGAATAGTTGAAGAAATTATGGGTATAACACTCTCCACCTCCTACATCAGACACACAACTTGATCCCACCAAATAAGGCTCTCATTTGATATTCAATCACGACCACTCAGAGACATCAAAATTTAGGGTAAATTACATCCACAATAAAACCCTCTTATGTATGAAAAATAACACTGATATCCTTTGTCAGTAGTAACGCCGGTCTCATGTGTGTAATGAAAATCAATAAAAAACTATAATACCCTTCCGTCTCCTTCATTCAAAAATTTTCTTCTCCATTTTCTGTCATACCCAAGCTCATCATTGCCCCACCCCCCTCTTCTTCCCATCTTCAACTCTCAGTACGTACAATAATCACATCTCAAAAGCCAATTTCTCCGCCCTCTATATCTAGACACAAATGCATACTTATGTATACCAATCTTCTCGGGAAATTTTCATTCATAGCATCCTTCTCTCTCTCTCTCTCTTTTTATATATATATATATATAAAATCAAACACCTACCAACTTGAATTTTATCTTTTATATATTTTTTCTCTAAAAAACATCACATCATCTATTTTCATTACATGTTCAATCATTTAATATTTGATTAATTTGTTGTTTAACATAATTTTTATTTTCGACATTATCTATACA